TGTTCACCATCGGGACCACTTCCCCTGTTCCCTGACCAATCAAAAAGCCAGTGTATCCAAGGCTAAGGAAACCTTAGAGTGTTGAGGAGCTGTGGTGGCCAGGGAAGAGGTGTACTCAAGCCCTTCTTCCTTCATGATGGGTGAGCCTGAGAGAGGCCTTCTGCAGACAGGTATGACCCCACAAAAGGTTAATATCTGCTTAGGGGGTGGACTAGAGGCTGAGGGAAAGTCCTCTGACCCCTCAGGTTATTTCTGACCATTGATCCAGGATGGACCAAAGGACAACAACAATTGATGCACAGAGTTGACAAAGCTTCTGAAAGGAAAGCTGAACAGGACAAGAGTGGGGTGGGGAGGCAGTGCAGGGAAGGAAACGTGTAGATGGCCCAGGTGGTCTCCTGAGTTCCTAAGAACAGCTCATCCCTGAATGAGCCAACAGTACTCTAAAGTTAACTTGACACTTTTTAAGGAATGTACAGAGTTGGCCTGAGTGGTGTTCCTGGTTAACCTGACCTTTTATTCCTTCTCCCCTAACCCAGATTCGGAGGCGCCGCCCCACCCCTGCCACACTTGTGCTGACCAGTGACCAGTCATCCCCAGGTAACCCAAAGGACAAATGCCTGGAAGAAGGGGGTCCCTGTAAGAGGAGATGGGTGCCAGAAAGGAAGGGCTGACTTGGGTAGTAGGCATTCACCCCATGCTGCCTCAGCAGGATTTATTTTGTTTTTAGAAAGATGGAGCTGTGCTAGGAGGGGAGGGAACCACCTGGTTCCTAAGCCCTCCAGGAACTGGGATGGCCAACTAAGTGCAGGTTGCTGTGGTGACAGCCTTCTAGGTTTCTCCAGCAACTGAGATGTCACTATCCCCACTCCCAAATGCAGTGACAGCTGTGAGGGGGAGAGACCGCCTCCATCATCTAGCATCAGGTCTCCAGGGGGTAAGGTTAGAAACAGCTCAGGGAGCAGATGGGATTCTGGTCACCAGAGTCCCCACCAAGGTCTGGAGACAGAACACGGTCTTGGAGAATGTCAGAGGAGCTTGGTAGGTGTGAAAAAGAAGTGAACAGGCTAGTCTGAAATCTGGGATGCCCGAATCTCCAGCCTACCCCCAACTTCCATAAATGATGCACATCTGTGGGCCTAATCAGAACAAGTTTGCTATTCTCTCTCAGGCAGCCCTGCTCCTGTGAAAGCTCAGCTCTGGCTTTGGGGGTGAAAGAATAACTGGGAGGAGAAAGAGACCTGGATGCTGCAGAGAAGGGAAAAAAGCAGAAGGACCTCAAATCTGCCTTCATAGACCTCAAAGCCTGAGGCTAGGATACAGGCTTGGCCTGGCCACAGGGCCTAAGTCTTGACAAAGCCAAGCAGCAGTGCAGGGGGATCCAGAGAGAGCAGGCTCCTGGGACAGCTCAGAACAGAGGTGACTGCAGAGTCCCTTCTCCTTAAGAACTCAGGTCTTTGGGAACTCCCTGGGTTTCCTGCTCTTATTACTGTTTTTGTTGTTGTTGTTGCTGTTGTTGTTGTTGTTGTTGTTGTTTCCTATTTTCCCCAGAGATAGATGAAGATCGGATCCCCAACCCACTTCTCAAGGTGAGCTGGTCCCTCCCACTCAAACCAGCACTCAAAAGCCAAACCCTGGTCCTCCAGTTCTAGGATGTGGCTCTGTGAGAGAGAGCACCCACTTAGCATATACAGGCCCTGCGTAAGCTCCCCAGAACCCAAAGCAAAAACTGTGTTCCCTACCAGTAAGGCCTTTGATGCCCTCTTCCATGCACCCCAGCCCAAAAGATGTGTGGGAGTACCTCTGCACACGCTCCACCTCCCTCTCACACACAGTCTCCATGTTCAGCCTCGTGGAAACAGCTAAAAAACAGGAATCTTCTCTTTCTCCTGAAACCCACCTGCCCTGATTTCTAATCCAAAAGCGTGCCAAGGCAGAGGAGGAGGGTGGGAAGGGCTGGCACCCATCTAGGCTCTGTGTCCTTCACAGTCCACTTTGTCAATGTCTCCACGGCAACGGAAGAAGATGACAAGGACCACACCCACCATGAAAGGTTTGGCATCTCCTTTCCAATTTCCCTTCTGCTGGGGTGTAGATCTAGTAACCCTTTGCAGGGAACCCTTGGGAGGTCACTGGGGCTGCCTTTATTTGAGTGGAGCTGTTGCTATGTGAAGGAGTCTCTTGTGGCCTTGGTGAAACTAATTCATACCACCTCCTCACTATGGCAGATAAATAGCACATGTGACCTCATCAGCATAGCACATGGAAGGTACTATATTCCTTGAGTCCAAATTGAGGCTTCTCTCCTGCCCCTAGGGAGACCATAGATCCTAGTAAATTAGGAGTGGCTGTGTACTTGAAGGCTCTTTCTCTCTCCTTATTGCCCAGCTAATGTTCTCGCTGTTTAGATCTCAGTGCATTGGAAATTCAAGCACCCAGCAATGTGCACAGACCAGTTGGTGGGGCTACTGAATTTGGGAGAACCCCACAAAGGAGATTTTAGGCAGTCATATCCAATGTTTCCTCCTTTCTCTATGCCCCTAGAGCTCCAGACGATGGTTGAACATCACCTAGGGCAACAGAAGCAAGGAGAGGAACCTGAGGGAGCCACTGAGAGCACAGGGAACCAGGAGTCCTGCCCACCTGGGATCTCAGGCACAGGCTCAGCGTCAAGGCTGGTTACCCCTGGGATAGCACAAAGTATGTACAAGCCTGGAAGGGTCCCAGAATGCAGTTTCCCAGCCTTGCAAGAAGACAGCTTTACCCCCAGGGGGACGGGGAGGAGTCTCAGCCTGAGAGAGATGGAATAGTAGCCTAAAGCCCAGTCAAGGACATGGATGTATTGCACATATCACGTGTTTGAATCACTTTGTCTTACTGTAAGCTTCCACCTTGGACTCCAGAGATCTTGTTGTGGCTGAGAAATGAGGAAAAAACCCACCACACTGGAAACAGTATTTGGCCCTGCAATGGAGCCAGGACTACAGTCCTGCTTGCACCACTGGCCAGTTTACCAACAGAGCATCTATCTCACTAGGGTTGCCTTGGAGTCTTCCAGTGAGTCTGGCTCAACACCTGATACATACAAACCCTTCAATACAGAGAATGTAATGCTGATGGTGATAATGCACAGCCACAATCCCAAATGTATTCCAGAATTCATATCATTTCCAACTGTGTGAAAGTGATACAGTGCACATACTGTGTGTTACATAACACACCCAGCAGAGCATCCTGTAATCAAACACAAGCTTTTCTACAGTCCAGTGAATGGTCACACTGAGTGGGATAAGTAACAATATAGCCTCAAAGCAGTTCATGTCAGACTTAGCCTCATTTGAGTTTATACTCAATTTTTTTTTAACTTTTTAGAGGGTTTGGGGTTTTGTTTTGTTTTACTTTTATTTCTCAGTCTCTGGTTACAGGAGAAAAAAGATAGTGAAGCTATCATAGTAACTGTGATCAGAGAAACCCTGGATTGCAGGGTAAATCTGTTCCCAGTGGGTCTTGGGGCTCCTTCTCAACAACTGCAGCCCTTTATAAGGGATGACTCTCCCTCCATCACCCACTTTCCCTCCCTAGAACCTGCAGAATCCACCCCCAAGATTCAAGAGCAATGTGGTGTGCAGCCCAGTACAGAGGACACCTCAGCCCACATGTCACCACTGGATTCCCAGGGAGCCAGCTTGGTAAGCCCCATGGGCTGGGCTTTGGGCTTGCAGGAGACCAGGTTGTAGGGCCTTGTATTTAGAACCAGAGGAGTAGACAAAGAAGCAGCTTTATTTAGTCACTGAAAAGTTAGCCTTTATGGTAAGTGGCCACATATCTCCTCTGACAAAGAGAGAGGGGATTAAGTAGCTGCAGGAAGGATCAAATCGAGAGTTTGTTGGGTATACCTTCTGGAACAGGTGATGCAAGTAGGCCATGGGTTTGCTTTTATTTTTTTAGTAAAGGGCAGTTGGAGCCAAAGTATTATGGACTAAGAGCAGAGATACTTTCCAACCCCTGCCTAGAAGAGAGAGGGCTCAGACTTGAGATCCACAGCAAAAGCTGCCTCAGAAGGTGGATAGTTGGGGTGACCAGAAGGAAGGATGAGCCTACAGCCCTTCAATCACCTTCCCTGTCTTTCCCCGCAACAGGTCTGAAAGGAGTTGACATCCTGGGATCGCCACTGCAGTGTGGAAACTCATGGACACTGGATGTTTCTTAATCTCTTGTTTTTAAAAGTGATAAATTTGGTGTTAGGTCCTTGGTGCTTTCCTTCTTTCCAGCCTGGGGATCCCTTCCGTCCTCAGCTCTTGTCTGCACTCTCAGGACCAACTAGGGAAGGAATTAGGGAAACTGACAGAAGCCTTGCCTTTACTTTCATGAAGAGAAATGGGAGTCTGGAAGTCAGAGGTCACCTCAAGGCTTTCTATCTTACTGAGGAAAGCTCTGCCCACATAGCAGGGCTGCACTCTAGGAGACTGCTGCTCTAAAACAGATAGCTAGGACTGTGCTATGGCACCGTCTGCTGGACATACGTGGGAAGTGCACATTGTCTCTAGACCCCTGAGAAAGAAGTATTTGGAATGGTCTGGCCTCCAATTCTGTGACCACTATTTCTTATTCCAGCCTGATAGGAAAGATTTCCTGAGAACCCAGTGGCTAGAAACCCATAGAGCCACCTCGCCCCTTGTCCTACATACTAAGGTCAGGGTAAGACTAACACCATGCACAGATGGAGAAATGGCCTCTAGTCCCAGCCAGGCATCTCATGATGCTGATTCTGATTCTCCCAAAGAATTAAAGAGAGTAAGGGAAAAGGCAAGATTCTTTCACGCTGTTTGCTGCAGCAGTGCCACACAGCCAAAAAGAGCATAGCCTGGGTACCAGATAGGCTTCACCTGGGTCTCCCTCCAACACTCAGGGAGAATACCATGCCAGAGTTACATCTAACTCAGAAGAAAACAACTATAAAGACACATGAGAGAACTTGTACCTTGCGAACACCACACACATCCAGCTGGTCTCCCTTCTTTATTGATCTCTGGCTATATCAGGGGCCTGGGAGACCAAAAGCATGGGGGAGTCACATGCGGTTCAGAGTGGCAGGTGTAATGACCATGGAGATGGACTTCACGAGAACAGGGCCCACTGTACAAACGCATGGCTGGTATTTACAAGAAAGGAGGAGGCAGTCACCTGGACTTGGCCTTTTCTTGGGTGAGGTGGGGCAAGGAGCCTGAGGACAGGAAGAGGTTCTTCCTGGCTGCACTTGCTCTGTGTGCTTCAGGATACAACAGCCCTGAACCCCTCCCCATCTGCCTTCCACCCACCAGGGGCCCAGGGAGGGGAATCTCATGGTGGGCCAGTGTTGGGAGAAGGGAGGCAGGAAGGACCCACTCTGTGACAACATGGATTATTGGGTAATACCTCACCCCACTTACACCGGGGCCAGCTGTATTTTCCTTCCTTTGCTCATAAGATACATCCTGAAGGAAGACCTCAAAGCATTTACAGACATTGGTCGGATGAGAGCCTCCTAGTCCCCAGGGACAGAAAGGAGGCCAAGGGCCAGAGGCCCGGGTAGGGCAGGTGACAAGCTTCTCAAGCCCAGATCAGCCCCACGTTCTTAGGGACCCCAGGAAAGTCTTCCTGCAGACAGAATCCCGATGGCCCCTCTCCTCTCCTAGCCACTGTCTGGGCATCAGAGAGGGAGTTTGCGAGGGAGTGAGGCCAAAGCAGTGCAAGTCTGGGGTCGAGAGGATGTCCCCACCTCCTCCTAGGAAAGTACTTGAAGGGACACCTGCCCTTCCCATGCAGGGCTTTGAAAACTGCCAGCCTCCCATCCTATTATGGCCCTTCCTTGGGAAACAGTAAGGGAAACCCAGACCTGCCAGCTAAGATCTGGGGTGGGGGCTGAGGGAGCCCCCAAAATGTATTGCTTAGAAACTTGGAGGCAAGAAGGATGGGGAGGGCCAAGGGGGCTGGCACCTCTGACCCTCCCCTCCAGGCCATAGGAAACCTGCAGGAAGCTCACCCCTCCCAAGTAGCCACCTGGCCAGGAAGGGAGTCCAGAGGCAAGGGGTGGGCACAGTGACCACTGGGGGCACGTGGTTCCCCAGGCTTGTGTCCCATTGGGGATTGGATGGGGAGGGGAACTTCCCCCACCCCACCAGCTCCAGCATTTGGCTTTCAGGCGGGCTGTCTCTCCGACCAGCACACTCCCTTGGAGCAGATGGGGAAACCAGTCCTGATGGATAGTGGTAATGACATCGAAGACTTTGGACTCAATGAGGACCTGTGGAAAGGAGACACTTCAGTGTTCTGTTCTTGAACTTCATCTCTAACCTGATCTTCCTTCTCCAAATCCCACCCAATCTTCCCTTAGTCCCCAGAATAGCTGAATGCTAATACCCTTCAGATGCATGACAGTCAGTGGTATGAGCTGGGCTGAAATGTCACATTTATTCACTTGCCCTCACTGAGCCTTGTGCCTAGACCGGTGCCTGTTCCCTAATCTCACAGAGCCTAGTACATGTGTCACCCTGTCTGTGCTGTTCTGTCCTTTCTTTCTTCAAGGAAGAACTGTGGGACCAAAGAAGGGCCAGGAGCCCCTTGCTTCCCACCCATGCCCTGGCTCAGTCTTATGCCTCCAATTCTCTGCTTTATTGCCTGGAAAAAGAAAGCACATCCTACTGAGCAGAGAGCCCAGAGATGAGCCACCTGAAGCCAGACTGGCTTGGCTGCCCTCCTGCCCCCTAGCTCACCTGGCCAGCCCCCAGTTCTCTAATCCAGATTCCCATTCTGGTTGTGCTCATCTTCTGCAGGGGAGGGCGGGGCCTCTTCCTCACAGGGGGATAGTTCATCAATGGACATCTGGTTGGTGATGCCTACAGAGGGTTCCAAGGAAGCTGAGGTTAGGCCAAGAAGTAGTTTCTCCAGAACCAAGGTGTATGTGAAGAAAATAAGAAGACTGACTTTCATCTACCACCTGCCTCTAAGCTGAGCTACCTCCACCCATCTCACATGAAAAACTCACAGCCCTTGCTCACAGTGCAGCCAGAACTACCGGGTAACCCAGATCTCCAGGGGCACCATTTGGAGATAGCCACAGTGTGTAAAGAGTCCAGCCATGATGTGCACAGGGTCCCAGGGCTTAGAATACTGCAGATGTCCCTATCACCTCTCCAGCTTTCATTCTAGAACAGCCCAAACCAACCAGCCAGCCTTTCATGTGGCCTCCTATTTTAGTCTGACTAGCTCCATTTCCAACTCTAGGAGTCAAAGAGTTGCCTGGGACTTAACAAAAAGTAGACTGCTGTAGCTCCACCAGCCAGCCCTAGACTGTTCATACACACACACACACACACACACACACATACACACACACATACACACACACGCATACATAACAACACCCACCACTTGCTGCCCGTTCCTTCCACTTCTGTTTGTTCTCCTGAATGTACTTGGTCCAGGTGGAGCGGAAACTGACCACATCAGGGTTGGGGTCTCCTACGTCTACATCTAAAGAAGGCTGGCGCCACTGGAAGCTAGAAACAAGACCCCATACAAACCCCCAGTTCCAGATGTGAGACCCAGCCCTCTTCAGAATCCAATTCTTAGCCCTCAGCATGGAAGAGATGGAAGACCAGGAAAAGGTTGAGGCTGTAGTCCTCCTCTTTTCCCTCTTCTAAATGCCCCCAAATCCTTGTCTATTTTCCCGTAACTGCACCCCTCCCTCTCCACAATTAGTCTCCTGGTAGAAGGAAAACAGAAACAAGATTATCTGAAAGACAGCTTAGACCCTTAAGGGAAAAGTATTATCGGGAGCCTAGGTATGAGCCACACCCCTCTAGTCTCATCCTTCTGTGACAAGCAGAGGGGCTTTCAAACTTGAAGCATCCCACCTCCCTCCTACCCTCCCTCCCACCTAGGCTGTATCTTTTCTCCTGAAAGAATCCTCTTTGTGCAACCAATGAACCAGGACATATGGTTACCCCAGTCACAGTCACCTAGGCTGACTTTTAGATTTGGAATCATCATCTGCCAAGGGCTGGACACTCTTCTCTGCCACATCAGTCAGCACAGAGAAGGTGGGCTCCACAATGAAGTCAATGAAACCTGCAGGAAGGGGGCAAGCAGCAAAATGTCTCACTTGGAGGACTAGGCAGAGGCAAGAATCTCATGGTTGTGAGCCCTGGCTACAAGTAACAAAGTCTAGAGAAGTGACCTGGAGCTAGAACTTTCCCACTGGGGACAACTTGGAGACAATATCTCTGTGAGCCCAGAGAGAACCTTCTAATGCAGCTCCAGGTATCTGTCACAGAACCCCACATCCAGCCCAGCATCCTTGCCTCAACAAGAAGAACGGTTTGGGAACTTGGAGGCTTAGAACAAGCCTGGCCAGGCCCAGACAGCTCCTTTCCTCTTCCCCCTCAGACTCACCTATCTGGGACTGAGCCACCAATGTGGAGGTACGATCACAGAGTGGAGAGAAGGGCAGCCCCAGCTCTGCTTCCTTGTCACCCTGGGAAGAGAAGATGCCTCGGGGTTGGGAGGGCTGGGGAGATAAGTGGCTGCAATGGGAGAAAAGGACACTACCCTTTGACCTGGAAATGAGGGTGAACAGAGATAACCAGTATCCAGCTCTGTGGGTAGAGACTTGACCCCACAGGCTTGGGATCAATTCAAGAGTGAAATGAAATGTAGCCAGGTGGAGCTCTGGAGTAGCTGTGGGAAGCTTGCACATCAGGGGGTAGGAATTGGCAGGGTTACCTGGCGGAAGAACTCTTCCATTAGGGCCTTGGTCCAGCGGCTGTGGACTGACCACTGCTTGGTTGGATGGCTGATGTCAGCAGCGTGAAGCAGAAGAGATAGGGCCTTGGACTTGTCAATCCTGGTTAGGGCAGATGTTAAAGAAAGGGAAACTGGTCTTTTAGGAAAAGGAGACCTTGGCCATTCTCCATCTTTCAGTCACACAAACACTCCTTTTCACATAACTCTAAATAGTCTACACACAAACAAACTCATCTGTATGTATAGATGTAGAGCACAGATCAGTAGCTGAGAACCCAAGCTCTTAGAATCAATGGGTGTGAATTTGACTCCCCCTCATATCTACCAACCACTATTGTGAGACACTAAGCAAGTTACTGAAAACATCCATAATTCATTTTCTTCAAGTCAAAAGTGAAAATAATAAGCCTACCATATATTGAGTTGTTCTGAGAATTAAATGACATAACAAGTATTTCAAGATGTCTGACACATAATATGCACTCAGTGATATTATTTACAATGGAATCATCATGATACTTGTCATTAACCCCTGCCCCCAACAGTGTCTCACGGTGACCCCACAATCCCCATTCAGACACCATACACACAGGTCAACACACACTTCCAGGACACAATTCATTCTCTCTTACTCACACTTATACATTCCCAGCCACTTCTAAACAGCATTAGATAGAATTATAACATTTGTTCTGTCTTTGTTTTGTTCTTTTATAACCTCACACAACTCTCCCAGTGGCCTTTAAAACAGGAGTTAGTGTGAAAGGAGGCACTTCACTGTTACCATTTCAGATAAGGACAAGTGTCCAGAAAGATCAAATGTATTTCCCAACATTCCAGAGTAATCCTGCCCTGCAACTACAATAAAAACCCCTATCCAGGTCCCCAGCCAATGCCCTCCATCAGACCTGTTAGATAAATCCAAGCCCATGTTCACAAATACCACACACACCCATGTACACTCAAATGAGTGCCTGGAGCCAGAAGGGTCTCTTAACCAGGTAAGAACCTAGCACATCAACTGCCCAGTGTACATGCTGCTTCACAAGACTCTCCCTCTGGCCTATCCCTGCCTATACCCTTTGATGTGCTACCTTTCCAGCTGCTGCAAGGCTGTCTTCATGGACTTCACTTGCTGGAAATGGCAGGACATGTCTGTGGCCAACACCATCTCAATAACCAAGGCCCGAAGTTCTCTAAGTGGACAGAGAGAGAAGGGACTGGTCCTCTCAGCACTAGGCAGGACTAAAGGATATGGGGAAAAGAAGGCTGGGATAAGGGTGTCAGGGATGCCATATGCTGGCCTCTGCTCACACAAACTCATCCTTGGTGAGATTGATAAAAATGTTCATCTCATCGTCCTGCATCATTCGAAAAACAGAGCTGATGTGGTGATTCTCCAGCACCGAGCGATCGTTGTATAGGATGGCACATTCTGACCTGTAAAGCTGTATGTCATGCCCAGCCCCCTATAAAGCTGGCAACCTGGGCCCCTCCTGCCCCCACCATGCCCCATTGCTCACTTGGTCTGGATGTGGAAGCTGTTGGTTGTGCCCGTGTGCTCATAGTCATGGATGGCTGCAGCAAAGATGATAGCCAAGACCTCAATCTCTGACAGGCAGTGCTAGGGAAGAGGAAGAGGATGAACTTGGACTAGCCCTCTGCCAGACACTGCCCAGACACCTTCCTCACAACTACAGCACTCCATCTATCATCAAAGCTAGCCACATGTTTCAACTCTCAGAATGACCAGAGACCTTCCTCTGTCCTCATCAGTCATATGTCCACTACACCCCATCATGTGTCCCCAATAGTGCCCAAGAAGTATTGGTACACCTGGGAATTCTCTGGATGAAGTTAATGCAATTTGACTCCAAAGCTGTTGGGACACCAAGGAAGCAGGATGAGGAAAAGGGCACTGAGAGAGCAGTCAAGACTTCCTAGTTCTGGATCCACAGGATCTGAACAGCAGGAGCATGACCTACCACCATGCCTGTGCGGAGCAGGAAGCAATGGACTGTCTGGGTAACATCAGCTGCGTGAATCTGGTTGTGGTAAGGGTTCTTATATTTCCCATAGCCTGTCTCCAAGGCCTCCAGAAAACTCATCAGAAACACAGTGGGAATCTGCAGGAGTGGGAAGAATAGAGACATCAAGGATATACAGGAGTGATGAGATGGGCAATCCCAGCATTCTTTACAAGGTAGTCAGGTATAATGACGCTCCCCTGTAATCTCAGCACTTGGCTAAGGCAAGGTTTGCAAGCTCCAGGCCAAGGTGAGCTACACAAGGAGACCTTCTCAACCCCACTTCACCCACCTACCCTCTCCATAAAGAATTGGGTATGGCCCAGAGAACTATTACAGGCTCTGATCCCAAAAGAATGGGGCTCAGATTCAGGATCTACCACCTGCAGCCTGTGTCACCTTGGGTAATCCACATGCCTCCTTGTGCCTTCCTAATTACAAAATAAAGATAATACCACCTACCTGGGATTTAATGAGAAAAGTACAAGGCATTTAGTAAGTACTCTCTAAAGAATATCTATAATTATTATTACTTCCCTGGAGATTTCAAAGAAAAGGAAAGAAAGCCTCCCTCCTACCTTCCAACTACCTGCACCATCCCCAAATCCAATACCATAGAGAAGGCTCAGAAGCAAAGGAAGAATAAGGTGAGCTGCAGAGCACCCTTGCAGCAGATGTGGAGCACCTGCTGCTCTGAGAAGCCTTCCTTGACCACCTCTACTCCACATATGCCAATGAGCAGCCCACTAGGCCCACAATATTTACACATATATGCACACACCCCAAGAGCCACTATCTCATGGATAGAGCCACTCTCAATTCTATCCCTGACTACAGATGCCCCTGGGGTATCTTTGCCTCCTTCAAGAGCTCAAGGCTCCTAGAGGCTAAGGCTAGTATCTTCACCTGAGGCCAGGAAGGGATCCAGGGCTCAGGACTTGGGGAGGCTCCTGCAAATGAGCTTCAGAATGACAATGGACACAGAAGACATGTCACTTCTCAGACCCTAGCATCCCCCACCCCTACCCCTGGAGGGCTGTGCCCCAAATTCAGGGAATTTTAAAGGACTGTTTCCATGACAACTGCCCTTGCTTTTGCGTTGCCATGGTGTCCCTAGAGGGAAGGGAAGGGAAGAGAAAGGAGGGATCAGGGAGGGAAGAGACCAAGGAGCTTGGGAAAGAAGCCTGACCAGGACCCAGTGGACATCCCTTTTTCTAACTGTTGTAAAGCAGGCAAGCAGGCTAGCTAAAGCCAACCCAGTGCAGCTGCTCTTGGGGCCCCCTAAACCTCATCCACCCACAAAGGGAGGGAGTTTGGAAGAAGCTGGTGTCTGAAGTTCATCACAATGACCTAGTGAAACAGGAGCTAGGAAAGGGACCTGCTATTCTTGGCCTGAGAAGGGCCTGGAAGTAGCAAGGAAAATTCAAGAGGCCAGGCCTCATGAAGGTCTGGAGGAGAACTCAGGTGAGCAGCTCATGACTACCATGACAGTTCTTAAGAGGTATCAGAAGAGTCAAGGGTCAGGGAGAGGCTGCATGGACAGTATTCCAGTGAATAAGACAGGACTGCTGGGGGACACCTACACACACACACACACACACACACACACACACACACACACACACACACACACACCCTGTACTGCTTAGCCTAGGCCCTTCAAGGCCAGCCACTTCACCTTCAATATCTGACACCCCTGGTGTCACCCCAAAGTCTCTTGTCAATCCTGGGTTCTGAAGTGGTTTTTCCTGGCCCAGTTCCTTCCCAGCGCTATTCCCTCCAGATGAAGGATCTAGAGCAGCCTTCTATCTAGATTGTCTTCCTCTGCCAAGCACAGAGCTCTTCTCAACTCTTCTCAGAGCTAGTCCCCTTCAGAAAATCCCCAGCAGATTTCCTTCAGAAAATCTCCAGAGCTGGAGACAGAATAGTCATATTTGCACACTGGCCCTTCCCCTCCCCCAGGGAACAAATGGAGAGACTCTAATCCCAAAGGATGGCAGACCTGTACCCTCAGGAAGCAGGAAGGGAGAGGCTGGATTACAGCAGTTTCAAGAAAGGCAAGAATGACGTGAGCAGGGGTGTCATCCCTGACACTGGGGCGGGATTCGGGAGCTATGAAGTGCTGTGGGATGGTCTGTATGTCAAGTGTGTTGCTGATTGGTCAATAAATAAAACACTGATTGGCCAGTGGCTAGGCAGGAAGTATAGGCAGGCCAAGGAGGAGAATAAAGCTGGGAAGTGGAAGGCTGAGTCAGAGAGACACTGCCAGCCGCCACAATGACAAGCAGCATGTGAAGATGCCAGTAAGCCATGAGCCACGTGGCAAGGTATAGATTTATAGAAATGGGTTAATTTAAGATATAAGAACAGTTAACAAGAAGCCTGCCATAGCCATACAGTTTGTAAGCAATATAAGTCTCTGTGTTTACTTGGTTGGGTCTGAGAGGCTGTGGGACTGGCAGGTGAGAGAGATTTGTCCTGACTGTGGGCCAGGCAGGAAAACTCTAGCTACAATGGAGTCTACTCATTGAGAATCTTTTAGGACAGCACAGAGAGGAGTGGAGGGTCCAGCCTATAGGTGGGGGATGGTGCCCAACCTTGAAGCGGCTGATGAGACTATGCCGAGTCAGCAACTCAAAAACAATGGTCCTCAGAGCATGGTCATCTGCTGCCCGGTTCAAGGAAAAGACATCAAAGCACCAGAGGTCCAGGTTCTGTGGAGAAACAACAGACTAGGCAGGAAAGCTCCCCTCCAGAGCTCCCCTGCCATGGCAAGATCAGCTGGACTTCTAGGCATACTTCCCAATGAAACAAGAAAGCAAAGGTGGGTAAGTGGGTTTCTTTTATCCCAGGTGTCTCTCAGAACCAGTGAGACAAGAAGACAAGTACTCGAAAATGGTTCAGAAGAACATGGAAATAGTACTTAAAAGGGAAGTAAGAATCGCACCACAAACAGAATCTAGAAGTCCCAATGGCTATTTCAACCCCCAACCTTCTCCTCTTTCCCAGAAACCCAGGGGTCACCTTGAGACAGTTGTGGACTGCAGTAGAATACGTGGGACCCACAGCAGTATACGTTCTCCGGAACATCCTAAGAAAGAACATAGAAAAATCGAGTATACGGTCTGAGGAGCAGAGATTTAGCCAACTGGGGCTGTGAGATAGGTCAGGGTGAGTAGGGTCATGAAAGGTCAGGCTGCTGGGACAGAGGCACAAGAGAGGCAGGGGAGGCTGAGTATGGGCAAACCTCACCGCTCCACGAAGATGCCCGCCTGCACAGCATGCACAATGCTTCGGAACTTGGGCTTCTCTTCTGCCCTGCGACCTTTGGCTCGGGTCTGCTGGGTGAAGGTGGAGGCCAGCCAATCCCTCACCTCTGAAGGCACAGCATCTGACCGAAGCTCCCGAAGCTCGTCCTCAGTATCCAGAATTTGCCTGGGGACCAGGAGGAAAGTCACAGAGGAAAGAAAGCAAGTGCTTCCATACCTAGCGACCCTGCATCCAGCCTCAATCCTCACCTTCCCTTTCTTTTACTACAGCTCTTTGTGTCTATCTTCCTATGCAACATCTCCAATTAGTGAAAGAGCTCACTGTGTGAGGTAGTGAGATCACGATAGACATGATTTAGCAGACAGTGAAACACCACCTTCCAGGGATTCTACAGGGCAGCACAGTTCACCAGAAATGAACTATAAGGTTCACATATGAAATTAATTTTTTTCCAGGTGTGGTAGAGCAGGAGGACCAGGATTCAAGGCCAGCCTTAGCTTACTTAGATAGCAAGTTCAAGGCCAACCTGGATTATATGAGCCCTTGGTTCAAACAAACAAAAACAACAACAAAAAAGAAAATTTAACTATTCTAGTAGCTACACTAAAATGGTAAGAAGAAACTGGTAAGGGACTTGAGAGATGACTCAGTGGTTGAGAACACTTGCTATTCTTGCAGAGAACCAGGGTTCAGATCCCAGAACCCACATTAGGCAATTGAAACCGCCTGTAACTTCAGTTCCAGAAGATACCACACCCTCTCTGGCCTCCATGTTGGCACGGGCATTCATGTAGTATACATACATATACACAGGCACATACAAGTAAAATTAACATAAATAAATCTTTTTAAAATTAAAGAAAAAGAATGGTTTCAAAACTGGTACGTTTAGTGGTAAATTTTATTTATGCTAATTCCTCCAAAATATTATTTCAAAATAAATCAACATACAATGAGTGAATGACATATTTTGTGGGGGCGGGTTTCTATCTCTAAGAGCCAGGATATAATTTACAGATACATTTCAATTCATCCTTTCACACTACAAGTACTCAGTAGCCAAATGGAATCAGAGTCGTCCCTCCCGGCCAACACAGGTCTAGAGATGTGGTCCATGTAGGTCAGGACTGGATGGTTTCTAGGGTCCCTTGCATCCCTGAAGCCAGCACTTTTTCCTTTTGTCTTTTCCAGCACTGGGGATCCGACCAGAGTGCCAGGAATGTGAGGTAAGCACTGAGCTCTACCTCTCCAGGCAGTCTGTCCCTATCTCTGCATCTCACAGCCTCTTCATCTCTGCCCCACCCTCTCTTTGTCTGTCCCCGTCACAGTCCTCTCTCTCTCTCCAGCTCTGCCTATCTGACATCTTCCTTCTCTGTCTGCAGGCCTTTCTCACCGTGTCTCATCGATGTAGACAGCCTCCAGCAGGGAAGCTGTGTATTCCAAGTTTTTCTTCAGCTCCTCGATGTTAACCTCCCCATTCTCCAACTGCTTCACCATGTAGCGCAGCCTGCAGGGTATGAATACAGATGTCCTGTTTAGACACTAGAGCCCAGTCAGGGGTTCCCCAACAGGGAGCACTTTGCAGAAACACCTTCAGTCTTCTGAGTTGTTAATAATTCTAACACTAATGATAACAGAAGTCAGTGTTTTTCGTACCAGGCTATGGCTTCTGCCTGTAGTAACTTTATATACCCCCGCAGTTTTAACCTAGGCAGGTAGCAGCCCCAGGAGTGATGTTTCTGGAGATGATTTATTTCACAGTCTCAATATTTCCCCATGAGAGAGGGCTTTGGGATCAACACCAATCAAAACAATCCCCAGGATCCTTCCATTGTCTTGGTCAACATGGGGAGGAGGAGCACGTCTACAGCCCCTTGACCCTGGCACAGAACAAAGACCAATCTGAATGCTTTTGCCTGGCCTCACTCCATGCAGGCAGAGCTAATGGATTATGATTCCAGAATCCATCAACCAGGACAAAGCAAGTTAACCCCTGGTTGCCCGGGCTCATGCCACAGATAACCTCTGGCAGAGTCACTGTGCCCATGTCCTGTCTCTGGCCCAGCTGAAGTTCCACCCTGGTGAAATGGTGGGGTGAAGCCAGGCTCTTACTCATCTGATGCCTTCCCCAAGGGGACAGTCCCTTCATGCTTTGCAGTTTTGGATTGGGGGGGGGTGTCACTGATTAACTGAGAGGTTTCTTGGAAGTCTGGCAGGAGCAGCTCAGAGTTCCAAATGAAACTCTCTGGCTCTAGACAATGATTTTGAAGAAAACAACTCACCACCCTCCCAACACATCCCACCCCCCACCCCCACCCATACACAGGCTCTCCTGCCCAAGTGGGATGAGACAGTAGCTAGGACAATTTCCCACTGAGAGGGGCTTCAGAAACCCAAGGTCACCCTGTGAGTCAGGGAGGAGAAGAGAATGAGTCAGGGACCAGAGGCTGAAATTAGCATCAATTCCCAGGGATGCTGGGGGAGGGAAAACAATGGCATGGCATTCCTGAACAGAATCGGCTCTAGAATCCTAGGGTCTCAGCAGCTTTGGAATAGGGGTGCTGAAAATAGCCAGCCCCGGGAAATATCACCAGCCAAGTCTCACCTCAGAGTCCAGCAGTCCTGGCCTACATGTCTGAGAGTAAATGGGGCAGAAGGGAAAGGGGCCAGTCTGGGGGTGGGGAGCTAGAGGGAGGAGCCCTGTGCCTCCAGAGTGGACTCTTGCCCACCTCATCACCCAGGCCCCACTGGTTCCATGTGGAAACAGCCAGTTGTCAGACAAGGAGGGTGGGTTTAGGAAAACTCAGCCCACTCCTGCTTCACAAGGGAAAAATGAATAGAAAGGGACTAGACATCTTGGAAGGCTTTCCCAGCCAAATAACCAAGAAAAAGCCACCAGCCAGGATCTGCCAGGATATCACAGAACAAAAGGTGCACTCTGCCTTTTGGCCCAAATAGGGCTTCCCTCTCTTCTTAGTCCCTGCAACTGGGGGCTTTGGAACAGGCACACACACACACACACACACACACACACACACACACACACAAAAGAAAGGCTTCTCCTACTGCCTGTGGTTCACCTCTCTTATTCTCATATTCCCACCCTTACCCTAATCTACTACTTCACTCAGACCCCTTTCAACCAAAAGCAGTGTTCCCAGTAATCAATGTCCACCACTGTCTTTCCCAACCAAGCCAGAGGAAAACCAGTGCTGGCTCCCAAGTGAACAGCCACACACACAGCTTCTTATTTGCATTTATTTGCATAACTGCTAACAATGCAGCTGGGAAAGGATTGCAAACCGCATTTCCAATGCACAAACCCCACTCCTTGGAATGGTTTACCACACTGTATCGTCTTGGAGGCTGGAATTCCAGGTTCAAAGTTTACTTCCTGCAATGTGCCCTCGGGCAAGTCACTAATTCATGTGTGTGTGTGTGTGTGTGTGTGTGTGTGTGTGTGTGCTTTGCTTGCATATATGTCTTTGTACCACAGGCATGCCTGGTACCCGAGGAGTTGGGGAGCCTCCATGTGGATGCTGGGAATCAAACTAAGGTCCTTTCCAAGAGCAACAAGTGCTCTTAACCACTGAGCCAGTTCTCCAGCCCCTAATTCTTAATCAGTATGTATTAAAATGTGACCTGGAGATAAAATAAAAATTAAAATGTGGCCCAGAGGGACTGGGGAGATGGCTTAATGGTTGAGTGCTTGCTACTCTTCCAGAGGATCTGAGTTCAGTTCCTAGCACTCTTGTTTCTCCAGGATTCAACATCCTCTGTTGGCCTCCACAGGCACCTACACACATGTAGTATATATGCCATGCACAAAAATAAATACACATACACATAAAAATAAAATATTTTTTAAAAGCAGTCTAAGCCAGGCAGTAGTAGCACTTGCCTTTAATCCTAGCACTCGGGAGGCAGAGACAGGTGGATTTCTAAGTTCAAGTTAAGCCTGGTCTACAGAAAGAGTTCCAGGACAGCCAGGGCTAACACAGAGAAACCCTGTCTCAACCCCACCCTCTTCAAAATAAATAAATAAAAGTGGTCTGGAGACAATAGATACCAGCATCACCTTAAATCAAAATGTAAACTCCAAACTTCACTGCACATTTGTGGAACCAGAGGAAGGCATGCATTTTTAAAATGTATTACTCCTGTGTGTGTGTGTATGTTGAATGTGTGTGTGTGTGTGTGTGTGTGTGTGTGTGTGTGTGTGTGTGTGTTGGATGTGTGTGGATGCAGGTGTGCCATGACCCATGCAGAGGTTGGAGGACAACTTTGTGTAGCCCATTTTCCCCTTTGGCCTTCACATGAATTCTGAGGACTGAACTCAGGTCATTAGGCTTGCTCCAAAGCTCTTTACTCCCTGAGTCACTTCCCTGGCCCAGAGCCACAGGTTTTTAATGAATACCCTAAGTGATTCTTAAGCACTCAACTTTTTACTCTAGAGCCTCAATTTCTTTAGCTGAGAAGTGGTAAGCAGTCACAACAATATTAAGAGAACTAAAGGAAATAAATGTGCAACAAGCCTGGTACGGGCAAGAGATCCCCATAAATATAACCTGGACAGGAATCAACTGCCAGTTTTACTGGCTCCCACTCTGCCCCAACAACAGTCCTTCAAGCAAGCACCTTCCTGTTCAGTCTCAGCCTAGGAGAAGAAATACAGTTTACATGCAGGAGATGACAGAAAACGCTAGTGACTAGCGTCTTTCCTATACAGTTTAAAACCTCATTTGAATCTCACAAGCATTTTAGGAAAGAAGGAAGTGTCTTTTGCCCAAGGTCAAAGGACTTGTCAGTCTCAGGTTGGCAAAGCCCACAACTCACACTAAAGTTAAGGAGACCTACTTATGCCCCTACACTTGGATGGCATTACGACAGCACAAGTCTGACAGTGTAATTAGCTTGTTGAGAGACATAGGGCATTGCACCAGAGCCTCAGCCATATCCACCTTAAGTGTTCTGTTGTCTGGACCTGTCATTGAACTCACAGGACATGGCAATTATCAGTGTGGCACAAACAGTGCCTGCTTTACCTTGGTCTCCATACTCAGAGCACACAGTATGTGCTCAATAAAAGTTCATCAACTAAGCTGGGCAGTGGTGGCACATGCCACTAATCCCAGCACTCAAGAGGCAGACTGCCCTCTAAGTTCGAGGAATGCCTGGTCTGTAGAATGAGTTCCAAGACAGTCAGGGATACACAGAGATACACAGTCTCAAGGGGGAAAAGAAAGGTCATCAACTAGAGGTGTAGGAAGACTAATCAGATGGAAGGCCACCTGCCAGAACTTACAAAAGGACACTTCCCAGACAGGCTTCTGAAAGATTACTGGTGAGCCCTGGGACAGGAGTGAAGCTATAGGTTGACTTTGAACCATTTAAGTTCCCCCTTCTCTGGCTGCTAGATTTCACCCAGGAACACACAAAGAGCTTCTGTAGGAGTCTGAACAAAACATGATCGAGGCACCAGAAAGAGGCGTGGGGGCCGGGGGGGAGATTAAAGAGTAAATTTGACAAATAAGGAATCCAAGAAGAGGAGCTGGACTCAGGCAGCTGAGAGGATCCAGGTGCTGAACTGTACCCTCCTAAAGTCAAACACACGTGGGTACACGTGTGTGCACACACCATATGCTAGGCAGCAAGGCCTCCTTTATCTCAAAGTCCTTCAGAGGGAAGACCCCCATGCCTCACTAGCTGCAGAAAGTCCTTTTCTCCACCCACATCACTTCTAGTCCAGCCCTGTTTCAGACCTCAGAGAACCTGGCCCCTCCCTGGAAAACAAGACAAGCCTCCAGGAAGACTGAAGTTTCCCAGAATTCCTTACACCCCATCCATACCCACTTCACCATCACATTTCCTCCTTCACTTTCAGTGCCCTCTGATCTTGACCCTTGGTAGGCCCCTGGCTCTAGTTGGAATAGAAGACTCTGGCAACAATAAGCCTAACACACAGAAGACCCCGATCCATTTCTATGGATCACAATGTGACAGGCAATCCGAGGATTTCCAAAGTTGCCTGCCACTATTCCAGTACCAAGACTGCCACAAAGATCTTTGTAGGTAGGGGGCTTAGAAAAAGACTGCTTCAACCCAGGGGGCTGAGAGAAGAAGATAAAGAAAGGGCTAGAGCATAGTAAAGACCTCAGTGGCAAAGCTCTTACCTAACATGTACAAGGACCTGTGTTCCCTCCAGCACTAGGGAAGAAAGAGAGAGAGAGAAAGAGGGAGGGAGGGAGAGAGGGAGGGAGGGAGGGAGGAAGGGAGGGAGGAAGGAAAGAAAGAAAGAAAGAAAGAAAGAAAGAAAGAAAGAAAGAAAGAAAGAAAGAAAGAAAGAAAGAAAAGAAAGAAAGAAAGAAAGAAAAGAAAGAAAAGAAGAAAAGGCCTGGTATGGTAGCTCATACCTGTGATCTCAGCACTTAGGAAGCAGAAACAGGAAGAATGTCATGAGTTCAAGGTCAGTCTGGGCTACAGAGTAAGGGAAGAGAAAGAGATGGG